TGAAGATGTTATATAAAAACAAGAAGGTAGAGACATTCAAATACTTATTTTGCTTCTCTATTTTCCAGAAAAAGGCTTAGTCTTTGATTTGGGTAATGTGGGATAAATACAGAAATAAGTAGCAAAAGGTGAGTGAGGAGTGGTTACATGTACACATTCATTACATGTTACATGAAGTGAATTCCAGAGAAGAAGCAAGGTTGCTCAGTGAAGGGGGAAGTAGCCTGTGTTATAGTCTGTCTTTACCTGGCTATATCCAGAGTAGGGAATTAAGCGAAGAAGTTAAAAGTAGGGCCTGAGAGATAATACAGTGGGCAGGGCGTTTGGCTTGTATGCAGTTGACCCAGGTTGGATCCCTGGCATCCCATGATCTCTGAGACCAGAGCCAGGAGAAAGTCCTCAGCACTGCAGGTATGGTCTCAAAATAAAAACAAACAAACAAACAAACAAAAGAAGTTAAAAGCACAGAGAACTAATCATCTGAGCACTGCCAGTGTGGCTTAAAAACAAAGACACAAATAGACAAAAAACCGAAAGATGATAAAAGCATGAACTGTATAGTTAACTTGAATTAGGGTCAAATTCTGACACTGATTTTGGTAGCTGTGTGACCATTGGTAGATTACTTACTCTCTTTTTCCATTTGTAAAAATAGTAACAACAATTCCTATCTCACAGTTATTGCAAGGATTAAATGAAGTAAAAGACAGTTGGTTAAATGAGTAGCGCTCTTAAGAGTTCCAGAAATGAGTTGCCAGGTCTGGAGTACAGCAGGTAGGGAGCTTGCCTTGCACATGGCTGACCTGCATTTGATCCCTGACACTCCATGTGGTTTCTTGACACATGCCAGTTGTGACCCCTGAGCACAGAGTCAGGAGTAAACCCTGAGCACAATCCAGATGTGGCCCCCAAACAAAACAAAAAAAAAATCAAGATGGACTTCTATTAATGATAGGTCAACTACATACATGTGTGTTTACATAAGAGAAGAATGGTAAAGAATAGACCCCAGAATAGTGCTTGGCACAGTGTTCAATGTTTGTTGAATAAATAAGTAAATACACGTTCTTAAGTCCTGAATTTGTAGTAAGAAGATTCTAATCTTATTTTTTTTCTTTTTGGGTCATACCCAGTGATACTCAGGGCTAACTCCTGGCTCTGCACTCAGGAATTACCCCTGGTGGTGTGGGGAACGATATGGGATGCCGGCCCAAGGCAAATGTCTTACCTGCTGAACTGGGCTCAGGCCCAGATTCTAATCTTAAGTATATAAGTCAGTATGGAAGAGAATATGAGAATATTCTTTTCCATCTTAAACAGTTTTTCTTTTTTGGTTTTGGGCCACATCCAGCTTGCTCAGGGGTTCTTCCTGGCTCTGTGCTTAGAGATCACTCCTGGTAGTACTCAGGGACCCTATGGGGTGATAGGGATAGAACCCAGGTGGACAGCATGCAAAGCAAGCACCCTATGTCTTGTACTATTATTTCTCTGGCTCTCTCATCTCTATTTTGATTTTAGTTTGTTTTTTGAGCCACACCCAACAATGTTCAGGGTTAGTCCCGTACATTGTACTCTCTGTACTCAGCAATTACTCCTGGCAGTGCCCAGGAGACAATATGAGATTCCAGAGATCAAACCCAGGCCAGCCACATGCAAGGCAGGTGACTTAGTCACTATTCTATCTCTAGAGCTCCTTGTCCTTATTTTAAATGCTTATTTAACATTTTGTTGTTGGTTGAATTGTAGTTCTTATAACCATTTCACTATTTTGGATTAATGGTTTTTCAATTTAGGACATTTAAACTACTTCCCTTTAAAAAAAAAAATTCTAAACAACCCTAAGTTGAATATGCTGATACGTATGTTTTGTTCCCTTTTCTGTTTTTCTTGGACTTTATTTTCAGCAATAGAATTAAAGTGATGATGGGTTTCACTTTTCTGAAAATTTACACTATTTATTTATTTATATTTTGCTTTTTTGGGTCACACCTGGTGATGCACAGGAGTACTCCTGGCTCATGCACTCAGGAATTACTCCTGGTGGTGCTCAGGGGACCATATGGGATGCTGGGAATTTAACTTGGGTCGGCCGTGTGCAAGGCAAATACCCTACCCACTGTACTATCGCTCTAGCCCCAAATTTACACCCTTCCTACCAGTTAATTAAAATTTCAAGTCTGGGGACTGGAAATGCAGTTTACTGGTAGAACCCCAATACCTCCCTCCTCTCCCATGCTCCAGAAAAAGGCCAAGTCTTTTCAAGACATCATGTACTATACATACAGCACGTGAATGTATTTGGGACGTTTGAGGGAAATTTCTCCTGCATGATACAACTTCTTCAAGATCTGAAGTGCAATAAACAGCAAACTGAGTTGTTGGACTTCTAACAGTCAGCATGAATCTGTTGACTATGCTCTGCTAAGATAGGAGATGGGTGTTCTTCAGATAGGAAACAGGAACTCAGTGGGTGGATGTGAAAGGCAGTGTGGGCTTTGAAACAGGAAAAAAGAAGTCTGCTTCTGCTAGCGAAAGGGCACAGTACTGCATAGGCCTGACCACCCATATCCTACGATGTTGAGCTTTCATTCTATACACACCTAGTACTTATACGTGTTCTTGGATTCTAGTTGTTTTTTTTTTTCTTTTTGGGTCACATCCGGTGTTGCACAGAGGTTACTCCTGGCTTTGAACTCAGGAATCACTCCTGGTAGTGCTTGGGGGACCATATGGGATACTGGGAATCAAACCAGGGTTGGCCGCGTGCAAGGCAAACGCCTTACCCGCTGTTCTATCACTCCAGCTCCTGCAGTTCTCTTATTTCCTTTCGCAGTTTAGTATTACTTTTATGGATGTGCTCTTTCAGTTTTGCCATTTCAGAGAACAGCATCCACTAGTTGTTCAAATCATAAACCAGACAGTTATTTGACAATTTCCTCTTCCTCCTTCCCTACATCCAGCCCTTCACCAAGTTCAGACTCTTTCTTTGAGATATTATTTCTTTATTTGTTTTGTCAAGTCAGGTGGTGCTCAGAGACTACTCCTGGCTTAGTGCTTGGAGGTCGCCCTTAGTGGTGCCTAGCAGATCATGTTGGTATTGGGGATCGAACCAGGGCCTCCTGCATGCAAACCACACACTCCAGTCCATTGTGTTCTCTCTCCAGCTCTAAAATATTTCTTTAGTTGATTTACCATCACTATCTTGACTTCCATTGTTCTGGTCCAAGACATTCTTGCCATCGTCTTTTCCTAGATTACTGTAATTTCCTTACCTAATTTTCTTGTTTCTTATCAATGCCTTTATCTATATTTTTGGGTAAGAAAACTTTTTTTGGCCACACCTGGAAATGCTCAGGGGTTACTCTTGGTTCTGCATTCAAGGACTTACTCCTGCCAGAGGTCAGAGGACCATATGGGATGCTGGGGATCGAACCTGGAATAATTTGATCTCTGTTCACTTCTCCAGCCTCATTGTTTACCTCTCTCCTCTAGCTCCCCCCACCTTTCTCTCGCTCTCTCTTATGCTCGGGGCTTAGTCCTAGCTCTTCGTGCAGGAATCATTCCTGGCAGTGCTTAGATACCACATAGGGTCCAAGGGATCAAATCCAGGTTGGTCGGGTGCAAGACGTGGTACTATCTCTTTGGCCCCTCCTCTTGCTTTCTTTATTTGTTGTTCTGCAATGCCCCATAGGGAGGATGGAGTGGAGCTGTACTGGCTGTGATGCTCCAATGCTTTAACTGTGGTGCTCACACATTAGTGCTTGCTGCTGGCCATAGAGCTCTTTGTGAGATGGACTCCTTTAGCTGTGGTGGTCACTGGGGGTCACACTCCTTTAGTTGCAGTTCTCATATATTCACTGGGTGGGCACTGGGGATTGCAGACAGTAGAGTTGCCAGGAGCATGTGGAAGCACAAGGAATTCAACTCACAACTTGATACCATTGTGCAAACCCTGAGCATAAGCCCGTTGGTTCTTGACTTCCCTCTTAGCTCTTCACAGTCCTGGGCACTCTACACAAGCCTTCCTTGGTATCTGGAATGTCCTTCCAGCTATCCTTCAATTGTGTAATTTTCTTTCATCTGGCAGGTCTCAATCTAAATGTCACTTTCACAGGAATGGCTCTTGTTGCAGCCTCTTTTTTTCTTTTTAAACACATAGAAGGTTATGTATGTTATATATGTTAATTCTGTTCCCCATCTCCTTAGAGTTTTTTGAGCCACAGAGACTATTATATTACCACTATTATCTAGGACCTAGCACAATGTCTGCCACAAACTAAGTACTCTTTGTTTAAAAGAATCATAACAGCGGGCCTGAGAGATAGTACAGCAGGTCCCTTACCTTGCCCATGGCCAACCCAGGTATGATCCCAGGATCTCATATGGTCCCCTGAGTACCACCAGGAGTAATTCCTGAGTGCAGATCTAGGAGTAATCCCTGAGCATTATCATGTGTGGCCCAAACAAACAAACAAACAAACAAAAAGAATCATAATAGGATGGAGAGATACTACAAGGACAAAGGCACTAGGCTTGCATGAGATTGGCATGGTTTTTCATCCACATACGGTCCCTTGAGCCCAGCCGGAAGTGATCCCTAAACATAGAGCCAGAAGTAAGCATGGAGCATGTCTGGAGCTGTCCTTAAAACAAAATAAACCAAAAAAGAAATGATAGTGTCCAGCAAGTGTTAGGTGGGAAAAAACCTTTAAAATATAATTACCTATGGAAAATACCCTGTAGCCACTTACTAAATATGCAAAATATTTTCAAGTTTAGTGTCTTATAACTGGATTTTCAAGCTTAGTGTCTTATAACTGGATTCGTAAATTCCTTTCTATAGCCTGAAGAAAAAAAGGCAAGTCTAACCCACATTTCAGAATTTTCAGGGTTTTTTTTTTTTTCTTGACTTCTTGAGGACAAGGACAGGTGTGACACCATGGCAGGATCAAGGAAGCTGAACAATCTTCCTCTTCTTTACCTGAGGACACAGTACTTACCAACAGGATGTGACACAAGGCATGGAAATGTTGCTGATTTGTCTCTAGCTCATCCCAGTCCAATCGCCAAAAGCTTGTGGGTCTTAGGATGAATGGGAGTCCATATGTCAAGGACTCGCAGAATCCACTGGATTTTAAAGCCCTGGGAATAAACAGACAATGGTAGCAGAAGAATACTGAGTAATTTCCGGGACTTTGATTCAGATTCACTTAAATTCAGCTTAAGTCCTTGACCCTACTGTGAAATTCTTTAGGACAGGATCTGTTAGTTATTTATTTTCACGTGGCCAGTTCCTTAAAAAAAGGTATTTAGATTGGGAAACTCTATTAATTAACAAAATCGTGGGGGGGGGGGTGATCAGCATGGTACCTGTCCAAGCAGAGCCCCTGGCAGTCGCTTGCTCCCACAAGCAACAATCACAAGGACTCCAGATTCTGATGGAGTTTCTTCTCCTGAGCTCATTTCATTCCACTCATTCCTGCTGCAGTAACCAACTGCACAACATGTTACATCTTATACACAAAGGTAGGTTGGTCATCTGCATTCTAGTCCTGGCTCTTTTGGGGTGAGGTATGAACAGAGAATGCATTTAAGGGTGCTCACATACCTGGGCCCTGGCATTTCATTCGAAACTAGGAAGCAGTAAAAGTGGCCCCTGCATAGGACAAAAAAATCCTCAAAGGGCTAGAGCAGATGCGCTGCATGCAGGAGGTCCAGGTTTGATCTCTGGAAATGTATGGTACTTTGAGCACCTCCAGGTGCAACGCCCAAGCTTTGAGCCATCAGAAGGTCTTGAGCACCATCAAGAACTCAAACAACTCCTCTGCATCGCTTTATTTCCTGATATTTCCCCATTAAAAAATCTGTCCTTGGGGGTGAGGTGCCACCAGCAGGTCAACCTGTACCTTCGGAGCAAATGCATCATCAGCCTGATGGTACCTTCAGGCTTCCTGATACCCCCAAATTGCTTCTGTGCTTCTGGTCAGAACTCAACAACTCGGGACCAAGTTTCCCAAGAAATTAAATGGCCAAAAATTGGGAATCTCACCCATAAACAACCTCCAGCTCAAGCAATACATATTTACTTACTGGCCTTGCTTCAGAGACCCGTAAATAAATCTCGAAAGAGATCAACAGCTGCAGTTAATGTCAGATCCGCAAAGGTTGAACAGACCAGAGTAAATCAGAGGGGAAAGATCAGCCTGGGCTCTGCCTAAGCAGAGCCCCTGGGAGCCGCTGGCTCCCAGAATCCAAAATCTCCATCATGCCTCCGGCTGGACTCCATCATCTCAGGATAGACTATCACTGAGGTATTAACTTGTTGAAAATTCGGATATGTGGGTTTTGTGACTGAAACCTCCAGGCTTTCTTGGGTCAGGATGGGCTATCCCCCTGCACTCCCCCAGCTCCCTGTACTTCCAGAAGCCTCAGCAGTCATATCCACACACCAAAGCTGCCACCCAGTTAAAAATACTACTCCAGCCTCACCTTCCCAATAAAAATACTGAACGCGCTGAACAAACACAATAACCTTTCATACCTATATTGCAAACCATAATGCACAAAAGAAGAGAGAGAAAGAAGAAAAGTGCCTGCTATAGAGGCAGGCTGGGGGGAGGGGGTGTTGGGGGATGGTGGGAGGGAAACGGACAATGGTGGTGGGAAATGTGCACTGGTGGAAGAATGGGTGTTGAATCATTGCATGACTGAAACCCAATCATGAACAGTTTCGTAATGGCCTATCTCATGGGTAGTCAAGAAAAAAAAAATCCTTCCTTGTGGCTATTCAGACAAGTTCAGTTACTTTGAGAATCTATATTCATCATTGTTGAACCTGTCACTTTATTGTCAACAAAGCTTTTTCTTGATCAATGGCAAAAAAAAAAAAGGAAAAAAAGACTAAAAAGTCGCCTTTGCAATCATTGCTAATTTGACTCTGGAAATAGTTCCCCTAGAAACAGAATTCCAGTACTTGGAGAACTGTGAGAACAGGATAGATCCTACTACTAGCATTTATTCCTTGACGGTCAGATCTCTGTCCTGATGTCCTAAACAGCGTGAAAACTTTCTGCTGATCTCATTTTTTAAATTTTTTTGGCTTTTTGGGTCACACCCTGAGATGTACAGGGGTTACTCCTGGCTCTGCACTCAGGAATTACTCCTGGCGGTGCTCAGGGGACCATTTGGGATTCTGGGAATCGAACTCGGGCCGGCTACATGCAAGGCAAACGCCCTACCTGCTGTACTATAGCACCAGCCCCTGATCTCTCTTTTTTTTTTTTTGCTTTTTGGGTCACACCTGGCGATACACAGGGGTTACTCCTGGCTCTGTACTCAGGAATCACCCCTGGTGGTGCTCAGGGGACCATATGGGATGCTGGGAATCGAATTCAGGTTGGCCGCGTGCAAGGCAAACACCCTACCCGCTATGCTATTGCTCCAGTCCCCCTGATCTCATTTTTATCTGCATTTAGATACTGTCTGTTTTCAGCCCTCATCCAGACCTCAGAATATCCTGTGGAGGCATATCTTCCATAGTTTGTCCATCTATTTCTATAGTGAGCAGCCTTACCTTGTTCTTTGCAGAAAAAAATTTGTTTTTTGGGGGTTGGTTGGGTGGAGTACACCTAATAGTGCTCAGGGATTACTTTCCTGACTTCTTCTGGCACTGTGCTCAGATAACATTTCTGGCGGTACTGAGGGAACAGTATGAAAAGCTGGGAATTGAACCTGGATTGGCCAAGTGCACAGCAAGCATCTTAACCTTGTTATTATCTATCAGACCCTCATAAATGAAAAAGAAATATTTTTTGAATGTAAGGGCCACCCCCATCAGTACTCAGTGGCCACCAGGGCTATCCTCAGGGGTGCTGGTGTAAGACATGTGAACTCAGGGCTGCACACCTGCCAGGCATATGTTCCATATGTGAGTCAATAGTTCTGCTCCCTGGCTTTTCCCTTTCATGCTCCTACCTGCGTTGTCAGTTGGGAACTAATTCTTGCCTGTATGACATTTGGGGATACCCCCTCTCTCTGGATTCCTGGCTACAACCCCTAAGAACAAACATGTGCATGAATTGGGGACACTCGTGTGTGTGTGTGTGTGTGTGTGTGTGTGTGTGTGTGCATGCGTGTGTGCCATACTTGATCACGTGAAGCCTGAAAGGACCGGCCGATGACTGGGGAACTGTCTGGTAGAGTGTGCAGAAGTCTCCTTTGGGGTCATCTGTCCTCCAGGAGCCATCAGCTGTGCCTGGGAGCAGAGATGGGCTGAGAAGTCGCTCTTGGAGATCACATTTCAGGCACACTACATAAAACAGCATTGAGAAAGGGATTATTTGTTAGAAGTGACCTCAGGCTGTGCAATTAAGAAACACCTGCCACCCAGTGCCACAGCACCAGGCAATAAGGGCTGGGAGGAGGTAGGGACAGTCAGAGAGGAGAGCTCAAGGAGCTGAGCTGAGCTGTGTGGACTGCAGGCATGTCTGGGACCCCTGCAATGATGTGGTCTCCTGAGCACTGCCAGGACCAACTCCTGGGCACGGGGCCAGGAATAGCCCTTGAATACCTCCATGCATGGCTCTCAAACAAAAACTAAAAGAAAGGAGGTGAGGGTGGGGTAGGGGTGGAAGTTGTTGAGTATGATTGGTTTGGGAAGGCAGAGCAGGTCTCTCTGAGGAGGCAGCTAACACTATAGTACGCAGAAGCTCTTTGGCAATTACAGAAGGAAATCTTGCCTCTGCTGCTTCCCTGGAGCTATGCTTTGGCAAGATTATAGGCCACAAGAAGGAGGAGCAGGAAAGCAGAAGCCAGGCAGTCAGCTGATATCCTTGGTTTCTCTCTTCTTGTGTGACTTGGGGGACCTCATTTGGGGGAGGGAGGGAGAAGAAGTTCTTGAACTTTTCACTCATGCATGCTTTCATTCATTAATTCCTGGGTGCAGAGGGTTGAACTCAGAGCTTCATACATGCCAAGCAAATGCTCTACAAAGCTACAATGCTAGTCCCCTGAAAAATCAAAGAAACCACCGAAACTTCTGAGGCTTGGCACATTGCTGTGGCACCAGACAACCGGCCTGAGTGAGCTTCAGTTGGGTATGAGTTATTTAGTAAGGTCTTACACTGTTCTGTGCTAAACTCCTATGCCAGGAAGTATACCCACATACCACTGTAGCACTGTCCTCCCATTGTTCATAGATTTGCTCGAGCGGGCATCAGTAACATCTCCATTGTGAGACTTGTTGTTACTGTCTTTGTCATACCGAATACGCCACGGGGAGCTTGCCAGGCTCTGCCGTGTGGGTGGGATACTCTTGGTAGCTTGCCGGGCTCTCTGAGAGGGATGGAGGAATTGAACCCGGGTCAGCCACATGCAAGGCAAACACCCTACCGGCTGTGTACTAAATAGTACTAAAACTACAATGAATTTTTTAAATAAGCAAATAAAACAAAAACAGAGGCTGGAGAGATAGCACAGTGAATAAGGTGCTTGCCTTATATTCAGCCAATTCAACCCACAATCCACAGTATGCAATATTCTGCCACACTGAGCTTGATTCCCTGATATAGCAAAGGATATATATTTTTGTAGGCCACACCCAGCAGAGCTCAGGGCTTACTCCTGGCTATGTGCTCAGGGATCACTTCTGGCTGGCTTGAGGAACCACATGGGGTGCCAGGGATGAAAACCGTGTTGGTTGCATGCAAGGCAAACACCCTACCTGCTGTACTTCTCAGACCCTCACACAGTTTCTTAATCAAATGTGTACTATGTTTAGATGCTGCTAACAAATTCATGAAGGATGCAAATTTTGGGTAGCTTTTTTTTTCCATGTAGTAGTACTGCTATTTATTCAGTCACTGATTAGCTGATTGAATTGGGCAGGAACTCCACTTATTTTTTTCATAATTTTATTTATTTTTCCTTCTTATATTTATTTATTGAATCACTGTAGGAAAAGTTACTAAGCTTTCAGGTTTAAATCTCAGTCATACAATGATCAAATACCTTTCCCTTCATCAGTACTCATTTTTCACCACCAAGAACCCCAAGATACTCCCCTCCCTCCCCACCCAATGCCTGTGAGGCAGATGATTTCCACTTAACTCTTCTCTACATTGATTACATTCAATATTTCGACAAAAGTTATTGTTTAGAATTTCCCTCCCCAACAATCAGAATTGCTGAAAAGGCATTGTGAAATAATTTGTTTTCTATAGCTGATATGAGAATCATATAATGTTGTGTGGCCGCTATTGTGGCCACGCAATTTTGAATTTCTGCCAAGAGCCAGATAATTACGAGATTGGTTTCTCTGCATGCATCTGGTGTTATGGCTGTGCCAGAGAGCCACTCGTGGGGGGCAACTCATGACCTCGGTAGGGTGTGAAGGATGAGCCGGTACTGCCCCCCTTCCCATGAGACTGCAGTTGCCCTGTCACTGCCGGCTCATACCTGGCTTTCCTATAAGCTCTGAGGTGGCGGCCACCTTGCTGCTGAGGGGGGAAAAAGGCAGAAGGGAGCAACACCCTTTCTCTCCCGGGGAGGCATGACACCGTAGTTTAACGCGTGGTCCATTCACTTTTCTGCCGCAAGCTGCCGGGCTCTGGATTAAGTCCTTTTGTGTCTGGAGCCATGGCCGTGCCAGAGAGCCGCTCGTGGGGGCCAACTCGTGACCTTGGTAGGGCGTGAAGGATGAGCCGGTACTGCCCCCCTTCCCATGAGACTGCAGTTGTCCCGTCACCCCCGGCTCATACCTGGCTTTCCAATAAGCTCTGAGGCAGTGGCCACCTTGTATGTGGTCCAGATGCATTTCTGCCTAAAGCTGTTGGGTTTCGAGATTTATTTCTGAGTCTCTGGGATTATGGCCATAAATCAGCTTGATCAGGAGCCAGAGAGGCCGTTTGTAGGCGGCGACTTGGGGTCTTGCTAGTATGGGGAGGAAAGGGCCGGTTCCACCCCCATCTATTGAGGCCCCGCGTGTCTTGTCACTGCAGGCCCAAACCTGACTGTCCAGTGGTCTCTGGAAGATGGTGGTCACCGGGCCGCCAGGGGGAACAGGCCAAGGCACGAAACCTATTCCCACCTGGAGTGGCCCAGCGCCAGTAACCTACTGCAGGAACAGGACACATTTTTCCAAAAGCCTTTGGGTTCCGAGATTCGTTTCTGAGTCTCTGGGATCATGGTCGTTAAGCAGTTCAATCAGGAACCAGAGAGGCCATGCCTCCAATTATATAGCTGAGCCAGAGGTGGTTTGTGGGTGTGTCTCCCACTTACCTAACTTTTGGCTGTTTACTTTCTTGGTAAAATTTTTGGGGTCTGGCCAAAGGCACAGCAGCAATTTTGGGGTATCTGAAAGTCTGACAGTGCCATCAGGCTGCTGATGCACTGGGTAGCTTTAAGAAGGCTGGAAGTTGATGCTAGTGATTTATGAAAGGGTTTTATAAACCAAAACAGGATGTAAAAACAACAGAAGAAATAATCTAAAGAAAGACAAGATGGCAGAATAGATGTCAGATCCAGTTGGCCTTCCTGGGCCCCAGAGCCCAGGAAGTCAGTGAAAGAGGGGCCTGGAGCTGCCTTGTCCCCTCATTTCCTCTGTGCCTAATTCCTCTATTCTAAATTGGGCTTTAGAACTGAATATCTGTGTTTATGTGACCTCAGGTTCTCAACTCTGGGAGCAGTAAAAATCACCCTGGGAACTCTGAAAAAATACTAGTGTCCAATTAATACTGATAAAATCAGAATCTTTGAAGATGGAATTCAGATACATACTGTTGTCAGATACATACTGTTGTTCAGATACATACTGTCCTCCCGTTGTTCATCGATTTGCTGGAGTGGGCCCAGTAACGTCTCCATTGTGAGACTTTCTTGTTACTGTGTTTGGCATACTGAATACTCTCGGTAGCTTGCCAGACTCTCTGAGAGGGGCGGAGGAATCGAACCTGGCTCAGCCAAGCTCGCTGCGCACAAGGCAAACGCCCTACCGCTGTGCTATTGTTCCAGCCCAGATACATACTAATATTTATATTTATATTTATGTTTTGGGGCCACACCCGACACTGCTCAGGGCTTACTCCTGCCTCTGCACTCAGAAGTCACTTCTTGCAGGCTCAGGGAACCATACTGTATGATGAGAAGCGAACCCAGTTTGGCCATGTATAAGGCAAGAGCCCTACTATCATTCTGGCCCTGGAAGTTGATATTGTTATCTTTTAAATTCCTCATGCAATTCTTATTAGTCAGAGGTGGGAACTACTAGAACTAAAGTTTCGGAAATGTTTCAAAGCTGTTTTATGTAGGGTCTGTGGTCTAGAACAGGGATGTTTCTCACCACCTAGAACTCAGGTGAAGAGGAGGCAGAACCGAGATACCATTAAGTTGGCTAAGCACTTCATAGGTCAGAGGGCCTCTGAGGGAAGCATCTAGAAGAAATAAAGAATCCGAAACAGTTACAGAGGCAGATGAAGAACCTTAGAAGTTGAAATAAACATCTCAGGAGTAGATCCTATAGAGGGAGCTTGAGGTTTCTTTCCTTCCTTCCTTCCTTCCTTCCTTCCTTCCTTCCTTCCTTCCTTCTTTCCTTCCTTCCCTCCTTTGACCTCTCCCTCCCTTCCTTCCTATTTCTAGAAAACCACATGTGAGTTGATGTATCAGTTTTTATTTTTATAGAGGCTGTTTCCAGTGGTGTGGGCCAAGTCATGTAGTGATTAGGCCAGTGATGCTCAGGGCCATGAGGACTACCTTCTGTAGTGCCCAGGGCCCATGAAGGCACAGCCCCTGACAGTGTAGTGGGGAAGGCATATGGTATTTGGGATCAAACTCAGAGCCTCACATGTTTGGGCAACTCTACCACTGAGTGCACTCTACCACTGAGCTCCATTTCTGTCCTTTTATCAGATTTTTTTGGTGGTGTTCCACTGTATGGTCTTCACTGTGACTGTGTAAAATCTCAGATGGGTCAGATATACCTGGAGGAGACCGGCTTTCCCATCCCTCATTCCGACCTGGTGTGAGCATCTGGATTAAAGTGATGATCTTTTCAGTAGGAAAGTTGATGAGTCTGGACCTAAATATGGTCTTAGGATCTGAATCTGGTTTTTGACCATGTACCCCAAGACCCTGCAGGTTCTAGAAAATGATCTCAGATGAGGCTAAACATTCTGGCTCTGATCCTGGTGCTGAAAGTCATGGCTGGGCAGGGCAAAGCAAGGCAATTCTCAACAGTCATGGGTCAATGCTGTGAAGCAGTGAACACTAAAAACTTGCAGGAGGAATTCCTGGCTTTGGTACACCCTCCTCCCAACCCCAGTCTCCCCTCATGATGAGAGAAGTACTTAGCATAAGGTGGCTCTATGCTCAGAACTGCAATGCATAAGATACGCTGTACACTGGTAAGGGCCTAGGTCATTGAGGGAGATAGAGCTGGACTTGAAGAATGACTTCTGGGCAGAGATTAGTCAAATGTATGATATATTTAACAAATTTCTAACTCTAAGGATTAAAAGTGGTCTTTGGAGTTGTTTGGCTTCAAATTCTGGCCATGCTATAGGGGCCAGAGATATAATACAGTGGGTAAGGTACTTGCATATGATCCCTGAGCACCAGCAGGATTGACCCTGGATTACAGAGCTGGGAATAGCTTATGAGTACTGCGGATGTTGCTCCAAAGCTCAAAAAGAAAAAAAACTCCAAAAAACCCCACCAAGATTCTGATTATGCTATTAACTTTTTGTGTATCTTTGGAAAAATATTGAATTTTCTTACTTTGCTCATTTGTAAACAGGGACAATATTTTATTTGATTCCTTTTTGTTGTTTGTTTTTTGACTATACCTGATAGTGCTCAGGGTTTACCTCCTGGCTCTGCACTTAGGAATCACTCTTGGCAGGGTTCAGGGTACCATATGGGATGCTGGAGATTGAATCTGGGCTAGCTGCATGCAAGGCAAATGCACTACTGTAGCACTACGTGTAGTACTATTGCTCCTGACCCTATTTAGTTGAGTCTAAGACATCCCCCAACTCAAACACTGTATTTAAAAAATGCATCTTACAAGATACAAGCAGACACTCAACCCTTTTTTTTCTATTCGAACGTAAAAATAATTATCTCATGATAAAATATTATTTCTAAGTTCTAAGAAAACATGTCAGGGCTGGAGAGATAGTACAAGTAAGGCACTTGTTCGGCTTGAAGTAAACCCTTGTTTAATCCCAGCACCACATATTGTTCCCTAAGAATTGCTAGGAGTGAACCCTGAGCACAGATCAAGGAGTAAACCCTGAGCACCGGCTGGTGTAGCTCCCAAACCCAAACCTGCACTGTAGCACTGTCCTCCTGTTGTTCATCGATTTTGCTCTAGCGGGCACCAGTAACGTCTCACAACAAATTGTGAAACTTGTTGTTACTGTTTTTGTCATACTGAATACGTCATGGGGAGCTTGCCAGGCTTTGCCGTGTGGGCGAGATACTCTCGGTAGCTTGCTGGGCTCTCCGAGAGGGGGAGAGGGGCGGAGGAATTGAACCTTGGTCAGCCATGTCGGCTGCGTGCAAGGCAAACGCCTTACACACTGGGCTATCGCTCCAGCCCTAACCTAAATTAAAAAATAAAAATAAAAGAAAACAAAAAAGCTTGCATGTCATGTTTAACACATAGTGTTCTTCTTAGTGGCACAGATAGAAAGGAGTAATGGAGTCTCTTCTAATTGAAGGAATTTTAGATTCAATGGCATAGGGTGAAAAATATGTTCACCCTATGTTGATACATTCCCACAATATGTATACAAGACAAACAATATGTTCATGGTGCTTTGTGATGATGAAATGGGATAATGGAAGGAAAGGAGTAAGCATTGATTTTTACTTGGGGAGAAGAGGTAGAAAGTGAATCCCAGAGGATGGGAGAAGGAGAAATAAAGAGGAGCAAACCTGGACAGAGGAGGTGGAAAGGAGGCTATTGGTAGAAGACTTCACACATAAAGAAAAGATAGATTAAAATCAAGGTAAGTAGTCAAAGGCACCCCACTCCCTAAGGCTGAAACTGGGGTTAGAGCATTAGAGCTATTCCTAGGAAGAATGCACTATATACTTTATTTTTCCCTTCTTTTTGGGTCATACCTGTCGATGCACAGGGGTCACTCCTGGCTCTGCACTCAGGAATCACTCCTGGTGGTGCTCAGGGGACCACATGGGATGCTGGGACTCAAACCCGGGTCGGCTGGGTGCAAGGCAAACGCCCTACCCTCTGTGCTACTGCTCCAGTCCGACTGTTTTGATCATTAAACTCCCACCTACTCCCAAAGGGATAGACTTACTGCTTTTGGGTTGGTTTAGTCCTTTTGACCCTGAGGTGTCAGTTCCCTGAGCTCAGTCTGAATGACAATGCTGATGTGTCCCTGTGCAAGTACTGCCAGTCCTCGTTCTGAACCAACCTTCAAAGCAGTTGAGAGACTAAAAATGTCCTTACCCCTACCATCCTGTGGAGCCAGGAATGAAGTGTCATGACCTGCCAACAATACCCACACCCTGGGGGCATGCCTCTGGTTTTAGTAACCACAAACCCGTGGTTTGTGAGTGGCCGGTTTACCCGCTGTTCTCCCTGGTGCTGCCTGTACAGTGGTTTCAGTCTCCCTCACGTTAGAGTCCCCCTATCTAGAAGGTCTCTCATTTATCTTGGCCTAGTCCTAATTCTTTTCCTATCCTGTCCAGTGGGTATTACTGAGAACCAGAATCCCTCAAATTAGATGTCAGTAGTATCTGCTGTGAAAAAGGAAAGGCATTGGGAAAACATTTACGTAGGAATAGACTCTTCTTTTTTCCTTCACATTTGGCAATGCTCGGGGGTTACTCCTTGGTTCTGCACTCAGGAATCTGGCAGTGCACGGGGGACCATATGGGACATCAGGAATCAAACCCAGGTGGGCAATGTGCAAGGCACTGTACTATCACGTGGCCTCCATAGGAATATATTCTATTTTTTTTTGGCTTTCTTGGGTCATACCCGGCGATGCTCAGGGTTTACTCCTGGCTCATGGGCTCAGGAATTACTCCTGGTGGTGCTCAGGGGACCATATGGGATGCTGGGAATCAAACCAGGGTCGGCTGCATGCAAGGCAAACACCCTCCCGGCTGTGCTCCAATCCCAGGAATATATTCTAAGACTTTGGATATTCAAAATTGTAGATAGTACCAAACCTCATGTGTACTGTATTTTCTTTCCAATATACAACATACCACACATATTTACCTATGAAAAAGTTAATTACAAACACAATGTAAGAGATTAGCAATAATAATAAAACAATCATACTATAATTAAAGTCATGCGACTACTCTCCCCTCATTCTCTCTTTCTCTTCCTACCTCCCAAAATAACTTATAGTATGAAAAATTTTAGAAATTACAGTTGACCTCTGGTAACTGGAAAACAAAACTGAAGATAAAGGGGACTATATATGAGTCATTCTGCTCTGCATTGCTGTTGCGAGCAGACTCCTACTTTTGATATGTCTGCCTGCATCTTTGCCCCTAAACTAAATGACCTTTGAAGTCTAGGCTTAATTCGTTTCCCTTTCTAACTGTGGTCACTTTTTTAGAAATTCCCTTCTTACTCCTCATGTTTACTCTGGATAGCCTTCTTCAACTCTCCTCCAACCTCTAAACCTCAACAACTCTATATTCTTATGACTCACCAGTCTAGAGCCCTAACTCTAGACTAGATAATCATAGGTCACACAACATGACTTTTGGGGTGTTTGTACTTGGATTAGTTCTGGCTCCGGAAATGTTGCTGAAATGTGGTGAGGGAAGAAGAATGTGGATGTGTTCTTGTTCTGTTCCATTGTTATGTAGCCAGTCTTTGAAGAAAATCTCCATACTGATAATATCATTGTCTATTGTCTGAAGGTCAATGTCAGTTCCCAGGATAGAGCTTGCTGCAGAAAAAAAGAGAAATGATGGGTAAGGTGGTCAATTCTTTCATTATAACTTTGGAAAAATATACAATTAAAATGAATTTAGTCATTTAGTCCATCAATTCAACTTCTAGATATCTAGAGGCCCACTTGGATAGTACACAAAAGACAGGCAGGGTGCCTGGGATAATGCTGGTAAACAGCAGATATGCCTTGCAAGTATGAAGTCACCAATTCCATCCTTAGTACTGCTCATACCCATGAGCTCTGTGCAGTCACTAAAGGTCTGCTGTTTGGGACCCTGGACCCAAAATAGAGTGTGCTGTCTCTTGCACACCACTGCCAGGTGTGAGTGAACCCTGCAACCAGATGTGTGCCTTCTGGGAAGCAATGAAACCAAGTGTGTGGGACCTCAAGTCACTGCAATAACTACACAGGGAAGGAAAGAGAAGGGGCGGGGGGTGGGGGGAGGGAGGCATATACAATTACTCATCCCAGAATTGATGTAACAACAAATCCTAACAACCTCACAGAAAAGCAATTCATATGCCCACCAACAGGTGGATGTTTAAATAAATTGTGGCAGGGGTTGTAGTCACAGTATGGAGGACTCTTGCCTTCTAGGCTGAACCTGGGCTCAATTCCTGGCATCTCATCTCACTCAGGAGTGATCTCTACATGAAGAGTTAGAAGTAAGCCCTGAGCACTGCTGGATGTGGCCTCCTCCCCTCCCCTCAAAGCGACATGTAACTATCATGCGATTACCAACAAAGTAAGACTGACAGACAGGGAAAGCTAAGAGACAATAAGTAAAGAAAGTTGTAGGACAGATGTATATAGTAACAGTTCCTTTATATAAAAGTAAAACTACAAGCCTAAGAAATACACATATATGTTAATTTATTTTACAATGGTCTGAAAGGCAGCGCTACCACCAAACTTGTTAAGAGTGTACAGAAGACGTCTGGTGTGGAGTGCTGATATACACCCTTCTATTCGTGATGCTATTTGAATTTTGTTGTAATCTTGTAATCATGTATTTCAAACACAGTATAGAATATAAGGTCAATCATAAAATTACACAGAAATGCAAATTAAATACTTGGTTAATAAGGGAGAACTTCAATTTTATGCTGATCCACAGTAAAAATGTAGTTAATGTTTTGCTTAGACATAATCTTTAAAAGACTTAAGAGAAAAAGAAAGAACTCTTTTTGATACAAACTGTATAAGCTTGTCACAGGCATACTGTACCCCCCAAAAGTGCTGTGCACTTAAAAATCAGGGATGGTCTGGTGGAATGTGTCTGTAAGAGCAGTTGGGTGCTGGGCAATGAGGCTTTGCTAGTCTACTTTCTGCTTTAGATATCATTAGCTCAGGAACTGGCTTCTGAGTCTGCAGGTAACTGGTGGTGAAAAACACATATAAATGTGAGGGAAAAAGCACAGAGAGAATGAGGCAAGAACTGGACAGAAAGCTCCATTTTTTTTTTTTTTTTTGGATCTCACCCTGAGGGATTCTCTCAAATATTTCTATAAAGAGCCTAAGAAAAGTCAGTTGCTCCAATGAATTGACTTCTGTGTATGACTCAAGGACCCCAAGGAGAAGGCCGATTTATTTCTAGAACGACATTCCTGAGGACAAGTCTGCAGAGGTGGCGACTCTCCACAGGGAACAAAGGGCTTCAGTCTGACCTGTTGGTGCCCACATAGGAGGTGTGCTGAGACTAAGGTGACCTCACTGACATATTTAACCACTGTGTCATAATTACACATAAATTTCTCTTTGGCCAGTAAAGTGCTAACATCTTTGATGAATAATTATGGGGATTCCTTAGCTGTTTCATGCATTCCCCCTTTTTGAGGCCTTCTTATTGTAACCACCAGTTAATTTTTCTAAAAAAGAAAACAAAGCTTTCATGAGATCTCTCTTTGCTAAAGGAGGCATGTATTCCTTTTGCTATAATTTTCTTTTTCTTTTTCTTTTTTTTTTTTGGGGGGGGGCTACATCCGGTACTGCTCAGTGGCTACTCCTGCATATTGTTTGGGATTTTCTCCTAGTGGTACCTGCTATTATTTCACTATTCCCCTCACTCTTTCCATACAATTCAGTCCTATTATTATTCCTCAATACATCCCTTCCCTTCTGTGAAGGCTATTCCAATTCTTTCTTATTTCTACCTTTTGGAGATGAAGCGATAGCACAGCAGTAGGGTGTTTGCCTTGCGCACAGCCAGCGTGGCCAAGCCGGGTTCGATTCCTCAGCCCCTCTCGGAGAGCCCAGCAAGCTATTCAATATGCCAAACACAGTAACAAGAAGTCTCAAAATGGAGACGTTACTGGGCCTGCTCGAGCAAATCAATGAACAACGGGAGGACAGTGTTTGTTTTCTACCTTTTGAGACCTTGCATGCCCAGACCCCACCCCCAGCTCACTCACTAGCTTCAAGCAGAAGCTTAGCAATGCCTGTTGAGTAAAACAATTGCTCCCTCTTCCTTAGCTCGCATTTCTTTTTCCTGTAACTCTTCTGCTTCAACTAAATTAGTCTTCTTGCCACATGACTTCCTTCCTTCCTCTGTGCTTTTATTACTCTCTCAATCCTTGGCTTGTATCTCCTCCAGAATTCAACTCAGAGTGGACTTTGTTAAGGAATTATGCTGTCTTGTGCCTCTAATCAGCACCCTATACCTGTGGGCTTCATTTGGATAATACTAATTATCTTTGTTAATATTTTTCTTCTGAAGGATTTTCTTCTATTTCCATGAGTTCATGAAAGGTGGTGGGATCAGTGGAAAGGATAAGGCTTGGAATATGGCTTACAAGTTGCTAGTTATGTGACTTTGGGCAAAGTGGAAGATCCTAAACCTATTTTATAGGTATAATGAGACACAAGTGAGATAATTATCTATGAATAACTTAGAGTAAGCCCAACAAATGACATTTTTTCCTCCTTTTTGCTTACAACAAAGTGATCTGAACATAGAGGCTAAGAGTGTACTTTCCTCTTTTTGGGAGAGGGGAAGTTTTTATTTTTTTGGACCATACTTGGTGATGCTCAGGTCTTGCTCCTGATAGTGCTCAGGGGACCTTTTGGTGCTGGGGATCAGCTTCAGACCTCTTGCATGCAACCATGTTCTCAGCACTTTAAACCATGTATTCAGCCCAAAATGTACTTTATTTTCCTGACATCTCTTCCTCCCATTCCCAGATATTTCCTATAGTGACTGCATTTTTGTTTGTCACCTACATGGTACTTACATTCCTCAGAAACATAGCTCGATGTGCTAACCTTGGAAACGGAGAAGTGACTTCTCACTTCTCAGGCGTTGAATTTTACCTCTCACGCGGATTGATAAGCAGGGCACTGTGCATCTAGTGATGGGTCCCACTGAGGGTATGAAAGAGAAAAACTACTGGAGTGGTGACTAAGACTTTGTGGTGTGGGTGGTTATGGCAAGTAAAATTCTCCACTGCCTGGCAAGTCAGCACTCACCTCGTGTTTTTGGACTTACTCTGCCTCCTGGTGGCCACATGCAGTGTGGACCACAGTAATGAGAAAAAGTAAGAAAGCCAAGTGAAGGGAGTAGTTCCTTACAAGAGTCAACTCCAAAATAGGGCTACAAAATGAAAATATTTTTAAATGGAAGAATTTAATACTTTCGCACACTGATAACCACTGTATTTTTCTTTGGACAGATCTCTAAGGTAGAGACCCATGAAAGGAGCGCCTGCTCAGTCCCGCAGAGGTCCTGACCTATAGGAAAGTCTGTTTCCTTCCAAATGCTCTTGATAAGTCCATTACATCCTTGGACACCATACCCGGGCCTTAAGGGTTCTGAGAGTCAGATAAATTGTATCCAATTTCATCTCTATGTATGCATATGTATTTTAGTGGGAGGAGAAAGGTGAAAGGTCTTTAACTTTGATCAGCTTCTCAAAAGAGTACATTGATCTCAAGAGTGTTGCAGTAACTATGGAATGAGCTATATCCACAGTCTATAATCAGGGCTGCTTATCCTGAATGCAGGAGCTGCCACATGAAATTTAGCAACTAAGATAAGTAAACAAAAGTATTAATAACTAAGATAGGTAAAAATATTGCTAATAAAAAAGTATGCCAAATAATCCAACCATTATCTGTGAGTCAACAATGGCACGAGAATAATCCCCAACAGTACACAACATTGGGGATAGTTCAACCTAATTTTCTGAGTCATTAACCTAATTTGTAGAGACGATACTTAGTTCTTGGAAAAAGGAGAACCTCTTGAAGAGGAGGTGGTGGGGACAGTGGTTAGGACAGTGTAGCTGTTACAGAGAAATGAGTACAGGATTTACCAAACGGTGGCTGTGTTCCTGAGTCTCCAGTCTGCAAGATGGGGTAAAATATCACTATAATTATAATGTCACAGAGAAAATACACTTCTGAGAACTTTCTTCGAGACACTACTGTTGTCCTTCACTCATACATCATTCATCTCCTCCCTCTCTCCCTCCCTCTCTCCCTCCCTCCCTCCCTCCCTCCCTCCCTCCATCGTCATTCATTCATTCATTCATTTCATTTGTCATTTTAGTGTTTTTGAATTGAATGCCTTTTATGACCCAGGCACTGACTGGGTAGAGAAAGGAGGATGCTGGAGGGCAAAGCTAGTTCAAGCGAGTAGGATGCTTACTTTGCATGCAGCGGTTCTGGGTTTGAGTCCCCACACCTCATATGGTCCCCGAGTACCCCAGTAGTGATTCCTGAGCACTTATCCAGGAGTAAACCCTGATCATTACTGGTGTGGTCCAAAAACCAAAAAAAAAGGAGAAAAATTTTCTGCTTTCATGGTTTATACACTAGTGGAAGAATAGGCAATAAAGAAAAAGAAAACAGAATACTGCAGATAATAATAGATACTGTGAAGAAAAATAAAGCATGATATTAGGGTATATGTGTGTTTGTGTATGTTTGTGTTTGATGTTCTGGAGACCATGTGATGCCAGTTCACTGGGGTAGACTGTGTGCAAGACAGCACCTTA